GTCAGCCTTTGCCAATGGACTCTACTCAAAAAGGTAAGTTGTCAGATTGGGTTGATAAAGCAGCCTTGGGAGGTTGCTGAAAAAGGATAACTACCTGATGATCAATTTTATGGACTGTTCATTGTAAGGTATTTCTGTCCCTGGTAGGTAGGATTAGCCCATATTTGTTTGTCTTTGGTTATGTCTCATTTCAGTAGACTGCATAGTAAATTCTGCATGACAGTGAATTACCAACAATGGTTAAGAGCAAGATTTTGGCAAGCTTTGACTAGCCCCATTGAAACTGCCATTGGTGGGATTTGAGTCGGTCAGGGCTACCTTAAATTTCTTATCTGGAACAAATGCATGGTATTTTCATCTATTTTAAACTGAATTAATTCATGCCCTCTGCTGACACAGTGCAATCTCAATTGACAATATCTTTATATAACTTATTTGCTTTACTATGCATTGCATTAGGACAAGAGTGGACAACTATGCAGAGGACAAAGTTCACACACAGACACACATCTGTGCCCCTGGTGGGCCACACTATTCTGTCATGGCAAACTGGAAATAACAACCTATCACTTCTGGTTGCCATTGCCACCCTGTTTTGAACCAAAATAAAATAAAATAAAATAAAAAATGGAGGGGGGATTTGGCATAGTGGGGTGATAAAATCAAATACCTTCATCTGCAAGCAGTGTTCTTGTGTTTGGGGCCATTTGGGGTGGGGAAAAACACTTGAAAATTGCCCTCCCAATAAATTAAAAGGGGGATCAGGAGACTACCAGGAAGCTTTAAAGGCTGCAAATGTAGAGTTCAGGCTCATAAGTGTCCAAGGCCACACTTTTCCACTTCTATTTCAAAGGAGAATCAAATCAAGCCCTCATTTTTCCTCCAGAGCAGAAACAAGCCTGGCACCTAATAATAATAATAATAATAATAATAATAATAATAATAATAATAATAATTAATTAATAAATAAATAAATAAATAGGGCATGGACAGATGCAGTCTATAAGCCAGATGTTTCCAAGGTTTCCTGGTCTCTGATAACTGTTCATCATCAGTGGCCTATGGGCCAGTTTTGTATGTAATAGTTGTATATATATTATATAGTCACAATAAACATATGTTCCTCACTTGTGAGGTGGATGACTGAACAGGCTAGCACTATACTCCCATGCGTTATATGTCTACTCAGAAGAACAAAGGAAGTTTTCGGAATCTTCATTTCACATCTGTTTGAGTACCGAGAGAATGAGTCCCAGGTATCATGACTTTGTTTGTATTTTGTTTCATTTTAAATAGGGGATCTTTATCTGAAAAACGCCTCATCTTTCAGAAAGGTAGGCCATTCATTGTGCCACATGTTTTGTTTGCTTATTTTGAGGACAGTAATGAGCCAAACTAATGGAAAAATAAATATAAAAATATCCAATCTGTCAGTTCATTCAAATAGGTGGAAGAGCAGCACAGATTGATAATCCCATCAGGAATCTCAGCAGGTCTCATTCACTTTCATAGCAAAATGTCAGTTGAGATAAATGACTGCCCTGTGAAAAACAAGGATAGAGACAGGCAGGTCTTCTATGAGAGAGAACTCATAGTGTGAGGAGTAAGCTGAAACCTATGTTAAACACATAGCAGCCAGCTCAGCCATACCTTTCCCCCCTTACTTCAAAATGAGAAGGTGAGGACAGCTACCCTTAGACAAGGAAGATATAAATCTTCCTTCCACAGCCAAAATCCTGCTACCCTGCAAAACCCAACCCTATGCGAGGCCTAATTTTAAAAAAAAAATCCTTCATCACCAATGAATTTTTAAAATGCCCTAGGTAAGATTTAAAGGAGAGAAAATTGTCTGCGAAAGAGAGTATACTTTTTACCTGCTTGCTTCCAATGGTGTCTATATAGGATTTGCACACAGTTAGTTTGAAGTAAGAAAACAAATAGTCTCAACTGCAAGCTATAGGGCCTTTGCAGACTGCCAGAAATAGTGCAAATGGAGTCCACTTTAAGGGTTAGGATTAGGGTTAGGGAATCATGGGAACTGTATTTTATTATGGCACCAGAGCTCTCTGACAGAGAAGGCTCAGTGTCTCAGAAAAAAAAACAATTCCCATGACTCCCTAGCACTAACCCTAACCCTTAAAGTGGACTCAATTTGCACTATTTCTGGCAGTCTGCAAAGACCCATAGTTAATGTAGCATATAGTTCAGACTTATTGGCACTACAAAGAAATCCCTCTTTTCCTAGGGCAGATCATTTCAAGCTTTAAGGTTTAGGATGGCTCTTTGAAATGAGTTACTAATCGATGAGGATGATGAGAGTTTTTTTAGCAGCATGGCCAATAGCCAAGGGAATGTGGAAGCTGGATTTCAACCTCTGGAAAGCCAAAAGTTTCCTTTCCCTGTCCTAGTTAAAACATTGGTGCCTTCTTCAAAATATATACATTGAAGCTTCTGGATTGTCTTCAAAGGTGGTCCTTTGTAGAGTGCATGGTAGTAATCCACCTTACAACTGCACAGGTCATTGGCGAACTCCTGCAATAATTTAGCCCATTTTCAGTTTCTAAAGGGGTAACTGTTTCAGCCTGATGCAACAAACACATAAAAGTATCTTGTAGCAAAGTAAAGATAATGCATATATTACAGTGTAAACCTTCATCAACTACAGTTGACTTTGCCACTTATATGATGTGTTGTTGGTTGGCAGGTATATATACACACAAAGAAAAGTCTCTATTCCATTCTCATTTGGCCTTACTGACAGAATACTTTTGTTCTGTACAGTTATTTATTTTAAACCTTTTGGGGCTTCCTCTTGAGGTACAAAACCCTCTCAAACCTGTAACAAGATAAAAACAATAAATTTTGACAATAAAAGCCAATGACAACAGTGAAACAGCTGACTTTCTTTTTAAAAAAAAGCATGTTTGCAATCAAAGCTCTCTGCAATTCCATTAAAAAACCCTAATAAAGACTTAAACAAAGGCTATGGAAAATAATTATATGTTGAGAGCTTTCCTGAATGTCAAAATCTGAGCTTGGAAAAGTTACTTTTGAGTTGCTAGGAAATTTTGATAGTTTTAGTTCCAAAAAAGGAATAGTTCCAAACTCTGGTATAGTAATGGGCCCTGATGGACTTTAATTGGTTATGCATGGCTGCGATATGGAGTCAGTAGAGAAAATGTTCTTTCATTTGTACTAACTTGACTATTCTCAGAGAATGGCCTCCACTGCCACTCTGAAATATCTTAAGTGTGTGCACACCTGCCAAGAAGGTAATACTTCATGTGGACTATAGCCCAGAGCCATCACTAGGTGGATGGAAGGAGTGCAGACTGCACCTGGGTGACACCTCAGAGGGGACTGTCACCTGGTGCACTGGTGAGAATGGGATGCCTTCCAGGTCTGGCAGGTCTGCTGGCTGGGCTTTCCCATCTGGCCAGCAGCTCTGCCACACCTGGAAAAGGCTACAGGGCAGCAGGTGGGACTGGGCTGCCTTCCGGGTCTGGTGACGCTGCTGGCCGGGTGGGTGGTAAAGCAAGTTGCCTCCCTTTCTCGCCTGGCCAGCAGCTCCATCACACAGTGATCTGCACCAGGTGTCAAATATACTGGGTTTGCCACTGCTCTATCCCAGGATGGGCAACTTGTAAGCCTCAAGATATTGTTAGCTTACAGCTACTATCATTCCTTGCTGGCTAGGGTTGATGAGAGTTACAGTCCAAAAACACCAAAGCCATCACAACCAGAGGAAAAGACTTGAAGGCCTGCAATAACAGCAGCGTGGTGCCACTACTGTTGTGTCAGAGAAGTCCTCCATTAGTGTCAGCCCACACTATTGCTGCTGCCCATTAGTTGCTTGGCACATTTAGTCTGATCCTCAGCAAAAGCCTGTCTGAAATGGGAAACTCTACTACCATCAGCATAGCTTCTTTCCTCATAGGAGCACGCAATCCCATCATTGCGGAAAGTTCATGCCACTGGCAAAGGGGATTGATTTGGATATACAGTCGCCTCTCTGATTTTGTGGGGAATCCGTTCTGGACCACCACCCTCGTGAAAATGGAAAATCGCCAATATTCTAGCCCCATTGGCTTGAATGGCGGGGCATGCCCGCAGATGCACACCATAGGCGGCTGCCCCATTTTGTCCCCCTCTGTTTGCCACCCACAAACGGGTGAGGAACACAGACTCCAAGCCTGTGAAAATGGAGGGCCGATTGTAGTACCCAAAATTAACCATTTTATCTAGCCCTTGAAACAAAAATCTCATAAACATTTCCCCTCTCTCTGGCAGTAAAAATACAATAATAAAAAAATTAAATAACTAAGAAGTATTGCCCTACTTGGGACAACAGCTGCCTTACTTTGCCTAATGGCAGGGCTGGCCCTGATTACTTACTAAAGTGGATGTGAGGCTGAACAAAGAGTGCTAATTCCCTTTGCTCACGTTGGCAGCTTGCGCTGGCACTCTGGAAATAGCCGGCTTCAACGCATCATCCTATTGGCAAGAACAAAATGTCATGGGGGAGGAGAAAGCCTGGACGCCTGACCACGCTGCTTTTGGTGTGGATGGTCTCTCCTGGGCAGCCAATCTGAACTCTGAAGATGAGTGGCTGGAGATAGACCTAGGAGGAAGGAAGAACATCACAGGTCAGTAAGTATCAACAGTCTGACAGTGGCTTCTAAAATCAGTCCTAATGTGGAAAAAATGAGCAGAAAAGTTCTTCTCTCACCGTACTCAACCTCAGGTGAGTCAATGCAGCTGACAAGAGATGTTGGACAAACCAAATTGGGGTGGGGGAAGTGATGGCAGGGAGCCCTGCCTAGGTTTTTCCTTTCTGCCCCACAGTAGGCTGCACCGATTTACAGTTGAAAATTGGGAGAAAATCTGTCCCAGAAGTGACTGGACAAAAATGGTTGAGGATCAGGGCAAAACTAGTGTGTGTGCAGAGTCAAAATACTGTCTTTGGGGACATTTGGGGGTGACTTATCTCTTGGAAGAAAGACAGTGTGGGGTAGTGGATTGAGCATTGGACTACAGCTCTGGAGTCCAGGGTTCGAATCCCAGATCAGCCATAGAAACCCATTGAGTGACTTGGGCAACTTACACCCTTCAGCCTCAGAGTAAGGCGAAGGCAAAGCCCCACTGAACAAATCGTACCAAGAAAACTCTGTGTTAGGTTTGCTTTAGTGTCACCATAAGTCAGAAATGATTTGAAGGCACGCAGCCACAGAATCACTTGAAAATGTAGATAAAATATTTGAGAGGTAGTGGGAGCTGCTTTTGTTTTGGAATGTAGAAAGTACTTTGGGCTCACATGTCTTATTTTCCCCATCTCAATATAAGGTCACACAACATGTGATCATTCTATGAACTTACTGCAGCAAGACTGGCTAGGGTCCTAAATACCCTAAAGGCACCCAATCCTGTCTGATCTTAGAAACTAAGCAGGATCAGCCCTAGGACGTTATCACACGGGGCCCAATCCAAACAAAATCCACAAAAAAT